ATCCTCATCCTCATCCTCATCATCAGCATCATCATCATCATCATCATCATCATCATCATCATCATCATCATCATCATCATCATCATCATCATCATCATCATCATCATCATCATCATCACTAGCAGCAGCATCATCATCAGCAGCATCAGCATCAGCATCATCATCAGCAGCATCAGCAGTATCATCATCACTACCACCATCATCATAATCAGCATCATCATCCTGTTCACCATCATCATCAACATCATCAGCATCCGCAACAGCATTATCATCAGCAGCAACAGCATCAGCACCAGCATCAGCATCAGCATCATCATCATCATCATCATCATCATCATCATCATCATCATCATCATCATCATCATCATCATCATCATCACCATCATCATCAGCATCATCATAGTCATCATCATCAGCATCATCATCACCATCACCATCATCAGCAGCAGCATCCCCTCCTCTTCCTCCTCCTGGTTCATCTCGTTTCTCCCTCCCCCTCCTCCTCCTTCTCCTCCTCCTATTCGTCCTCGTCCTCGTCCTCACCCTCCTCCTCCTCCTCCTCCTCTTCCTCCTCCTGCCCCTCCATCCACTCTCCTTATACACAAATCCTCCCTGTCGCATCCCGAGGCCAGTCGGGAAACGCCTCAGGCGTTTCGCCCGAGAGTTCCTTACAATGTATGATCCTGAATCTTGAAAATGGACCACTGCTTCGCAAAGGAGGGCGGGTCGCTTCCACAGTGCGGTTCTCGCCTTCGCGCCTCGCACATTCGCTCTGAACATCTGCAAGGGCTTCACGGATTGAGGGCGGGTGGTTTTCAAAGTGTGGCCCTCGCCTTAGCGCCGCTCACATCCGTCAAACTTGCAAGGGTTCCATGGGATCTAGCGGTTAACGTACCAGAAACAGTGTTTGGAGCGGCTCGGGAGTGCTGGGGCGAAACAGTTACGTTGATTCGCGGTGCTGACGTCCCAAGAATGGCGATCTGCCACGGTTCAGGGTCGTCACGACGCAACCGTCAAGTTCATTCGCGGCGCGGAAGTCTCGAACACGGTTGCCTGGCACACTTCAGCATTTTCAACGGTTCTCCCAGCAAGGGCACTTCCCTAAGTGGACATGAATCCTTGTAGGGGCCTGTGAAGAGGGATCTTGAAGGGGGGGTGTTGACTCGCGGCGTTGAAGTTCCGAGAATGGCGTGTTGCTGCGCTTCGCGATCTTGAAACGGTTGTCCCCAAACGGGGCACGTCCGCACTTCCCTCAGTGGAGCTGAATCCCTGTATGCAGCCTATGAAACAGGGAGTTTGGAGGGAGGGTTGACCCCAACCTCGTGGATGAGCCATGGGTTTCCACTGCTCACCCTCCTCCTCCTCCTCCTGCTCCTCCTCCTCCATCCCTCTCCTTCTATATAGCTCCTCTCTGTCTCAACCCGAGCCTGGTCGAAACGGCGGACCTGGCGTTTCCCCTGAAACTTCGTTATCATGTATGATCCCGAAGCTTGGACATGGGCGGCCGCTTCACGGGTGGAGGGCGGGCGGTCTTCCAACTGTGGATCTCGCCTCAAAGCCGCGCGCACGCGTCTGCGAAAAAATGCAGGAGCTTCACGGATGGAGGGCGGATGGTTTTCAAACTGTGGCTCTCGCCTTCGCGTCGCGCACACTCGTTTTTAAGTATGTGGAAGAGTTTCACCAAGTGAGGGCGGGTGGTTTTCAAACTGTGGCTCTAGCCTTAGCGCCGCGCACACTCGGTTAAAACAATTGCACGCATGGTACGTGTCCCATGGTTAACGCATGGTGTTTTGGAGCGGTTCAGGACTGTCAGGGCGCAACTGTTATGCTGACTCGCGGTGTTGAAATCCCAGGAATGGTGTTCTGGCACCAATCTGGATCGTCGAGATGCAACAGTCAGTCTAATTCGAGACGGTGAAGTTCCGAGAATTGGGTTCTAGCGCGTTTCAAGATCTTAGAACGGTTGTCTCCCCACAGGACACTTCCCCCAATGGAAATGGATCCTTGCAGGGGCATTGAAGAGAGAGCTTGGAGGTTGGGTTGTTTCCAACATCGTTGATGAGTCTTCGGTTTCCACTGGTCCTCCTCCTCATTCACCTCCTCCTGCTCCTGTTCCATCTCGTTTCCCCTCCTCCTCCTCCTCCGCCTCCTCCTCCGCCTCCTCCTCCTCCTCCTCCTCCTCCTCCCCATCCTCTTCCTTCCCCTCCTCCTCCTCCTCAACCTAATGGTTCCTTCTCCTCCTCTTCCTACTCCTCCTCCTTCGCCTCCTCCTCCTTTCTCCTCATCCTTATCCCCCTGTTCCTCCTCTTTTCGGCTATGCTCGTGCTCCTCATCCCCCTCCTTCTCCTTCTCCTCCTCCTCCTCCTCCTCCTCCTCCTCCTCCTCCTCCTCCTTCGCCTCCTCCTCCTCCTCCTCCTCCTCCTCCCTGGCTCAGTATACGACCACCCGGCTGACTCTTGAGCCGCAGATCACGGTGGCGTCGCTGGCGCGCGCGGGGCCGGAACGGACGGATCCTCACATCACGTGGCCACGGCCGTGCCCCAGAGGCGAGCTGCGGCATCGCCTCTGAGCAAACTCCGGAGCGATGAGCGCAGGAGTCCCTCGTCAAGGAAAAGCTCGCGCGCGGGGGGCGCAGCCGTGGAGTCTCCAGGGTCGCGTCGAGCTTCCAGGCGTCGAGCTCCGACTCGGCGCCCTTGCGCCTCTGGTCGCTGTCCTCCCGGCTGGATGGCGGGGGCAGGGCCGAGAAAGCAGAGAGGGTGGAGGAGGAGGAGGAGGAGGAGGAGGAGAAGGAGGGAGAGGAGGAAGAGGAGGAGGAGGACGAGAGGGAGGGGGTGGAGGACAAGCTAGGTGCACTCGCGTCATATCTGACGTCCTACCCCTCCGCTCCATCCCTCGCCACGGCGTCGAGCCCCTCTCTGCTCGCACAGTCGGACGTCGAAGAGGACAGCGATCCCCAAAAGGGCACCCGACGCATAGCACTGCGCCGCATTGCACAGTCAATCATCGCATTGCATGCCATAGCATTGCATTGCAGCGCAGGGCATCGCATCGCGTATCGGTGTACAAGATAGCATTGCATGGCATGCCAGCTTACAATACGGCTTTGCATGGCCCAGCGCTGCAGGTCACGGCGTTGCGAAGCAAGGCATCTGATCGCAGAAGAGGGGCAGGTGACATAACATTGAATTGCATACCTTGGCTGCAGGAACGATGCAGCCAAGAAAACCATGCTGGAGGACCGACAACTTGGAGATGGTGCCAGCGCTGCAGCGGACCACCATTCGGAAGGACCGAACTTTCGGAAATGAGGCCGGCGCTGCAGCGAGACCACCATTCGGAAGGACCGAAAACGCAGAAACGTGGCCAACGCTGCAGCGAGAACACCATTCGGAAGGACCGAAAGTGCGGAAAGGAGACCAACGCTGCAGCGGGAACACGATCTTGGAAGACCAGGCACGGAAGTGAGGCCAGCGCTGCAGCGGGAGCACCACTGGGTGGCCACGGGCGGTCCCCACCCCCACCCCCCACGATCTCGGAAGGGGTGGGGGGGGGTTGCTCTGCTCGGGAGCTCCCGAACGAAGTGAACCCCGCCCCCCCTAGACATAGCGGGGGGTAGGGGGTGGGGTTCGCATGTGGCCACCGAACCATCTTGAAGGACCGAAAGCAATCGGATGGGCAAAACACGTACGGAACACCAGCTGTTGGAGATCCAGTGCGAAGAGAAAGCAGCACGCGGGAGAGGGCGGAACACCCTCCGGCCAGTGTCGGGGAAGAGAGTGAGGAGGCTTGTACTCGTGATGCGTACCCGGCGGTCGGAAGCGGTGGGCTGAAGCGGGAAGTAGGAAGGCGCTCAAAGTAGATGTTGGAGGCGAGCGCGGGGGAGAAGTGAGAGGGAGAAGGCCTTCTCAGAAGGCGGCGGGACTTCTCAGAAGCCGCCGCGCCTTCTGAGAGGCTCCCTGCGTCTTCGGGGAAGGCTCAGGAAACTTCTCGGAAGGCCGGGGGACTTCCGAGCCTTCTGAGAAGGCCTTCTCCTTCTCGCTTCCCCCATCGCTCGCCGCCGAAGACTGGGCTCCAGCCCGCCCCCCGAAGAAGAAGAAGAAGAAGAAGAAGAAGAAGAAAAGGATGAGACCACTCGATCATTGGAGTAAGAAGGCGCCCAACGTAGACTGGGATCCGAAAATCCAGACATGCCTACTCTCAACGACCTGCTTGTACTTGTGGGGGGGGAAGCGGAGAATTACCTCGATCTCCGGCTCATCCTCCTCCAGGTTTCCGTCCTTGTCCCCCTGCTCTTCTCCACCTCCCTTTCTGCTCCTATCATCCCTCGGCCGCTCTCTTCGACACGCCATCGGAACATTCCCGTAGCGTCTCCACTCCTCCTCCTCCTCCTCCTCCTCCTCCGCCTCCTCCTCCTCCTCCTCCTCCTCCTCCTCCTCCTCGTCATCACTATCATCATCCCTCTACCTCATCCGCATCCCCCCCTCTCAATCCTCCACCTGCAAGTACACCACCACGTCCTATCCCTATTCCTCCTCCTCCTCCTCCTCCTCCTCCTCCTCCTCCTCCTCCTCCTCCTCCTACTCCTCCTCCTCCTCCTCCTCCTCACCCCTCAAAAAGCCCCCTGACCTCTCATGGAGCGCGTTCTGACCAGGACTTCGAAGACAATCCAGCCGTGGTCACGAGCGACCCCCCAAAACCCAGAGGAGGAGGAACCGCCAGCGTCGTGCAAAATTGACCTTGGAACCTCGGTCCTTGGCGGCGACGACGACGACGACGACGACGACGACGACGATCAGCACGGGTCCTCGCACATGCCGCGGAAGTCCTCGCACAACTTCTCGCTGAAGACCTCGGCCTTCCTCTCCAGCTCCCTCGACACCTCCTCGAGGTCTGCCTGACGCACATGCGCGGACGAGGACGGGGACAGGGCGCGCATGGAAAGAAGGGTAGGGGGCCGTGAAGTGGGAGAGAAATTCAGATGGCCCCGGCAGAGATGTCCACGCACCCCTCGTCCTCACCCCCCTCCTCCACGCACCCTCCTCCTCCTCCTCCTCCTCCTCCTCCTCCTCCTCCTCCTCCTCCTCCATCTCCATCTCCTCCTCCTCCTCCTCCATCTCCTCCTCCTCCTCCTCCTCCTCCTCCTCCTCCTCCTCCTCCTCCTCCTCCTCCTCCTCCTCCTCCCCCAAGCCCTCTACTGATCCCTCGACCCCTGCTCGAGGTCTGCCTCTGGAGGCGGACCCCCCCCGCTCCAAGAGCGCGCCTGGTGGAGCCTCCGGGGTCGGCCCGGCCTTCCTCGGACGCTGCAGCGCCCTCCCCGCGAACGCACTGAGGGGGCCCAGGGACACGCAAACGAAGACGCACAAGTGGCTGGATGGAGTAAAGGTGTTCTGGTCGACTTGGGAACACAGATCTCTTGGTTCAGACATGAAGACGGATACGTTTGAGATCTTGGGGGGGGGTCTGCGCATCATGCAATTTTCATTTGACTTCCAGGGGGGGGGTCTGCGCATCATGCAATTTTGCATTTGAGCTCCAGGGGGGGGTCTGTCGCCGCCGCTGCCGGAGACGGTGACGCCGAAGACGACGAAACCAGCTACGACGCTCCTGGATGCCCCATACGTTTCCATACTTTGGGGGGTTTTCGCCTTCCCCCCCACGTCCCATATCTTCTAGGGAATCGACAGTTCATTGTGTCTGTGTGTTTCGGGAGCGGCCAAGAGGGGGGTGTCCAAGAGGGGGGGGTGCAAATCATGACCGGCGGCATGTGCGCGGCCCAGCGGGGGGGCCAGGGACGTAATGAAATTCGCCGGCCCAACGGGCCAGAGGCGTGCTAAGATCTCCGGTAACTGGTTAACAATTTTCTAGTTCGCGCGCGCGGGGCGGCCCCTGGGGGTCCCCGGACGAAAAGTACCCTGACCAGGTCCCTGGGCAACTCCCTGTCGGGGATGGTTCTGCTCCTGGGCGCCGCCCTCAGGGCCTCCCAAGAGCCCCGAGAAGAGCTCAGAGACCCCCAAGAGGCCCTCAATATGGTCCAACAGAGCTCCAAGACGCCATAATATCGCTCCAAAACGCCTAAGATGGCTCCCCGACGCACCAAGAAGCCTCCAAGAGCCCTGCCAAGAGGTCCCCAAGAGGCAAAATTCATCGATTTCCCTAAGGTTTTTGAAGGATTCTCGCATTCTCGCCTTTTCCGCTTCCCGACGCTCCAAGACGACCAAAGAGGCCCCAAAGATCGCTCCAAGACGGCCCAAAAGGCTCCCAAGAGGGCTTCAAAACGGCCCAAGAGCGCCCCAAGACAGCCCAAGACGCCCCCAAGACGGCCCAAGAGGGCCCCAAGAACGGCCCCAGAGGGGGAACACGAAACAACATTTCGAGCCCTCAGTCCTAAGAGCCTCCCGGGAGGCCCCCAGAGGTCCCCAAGAGGCCCCCATGGGCCCCCAAGAGCCCCTCAGAAGGCCCCGAAGAAGCCACCAAGAGGCCCCCAAGCGGCCACAGGAAGCCCCCAAAACGCTGCCGCGAGCACACGGTATCCCAACGAACATCCAACAGGCTTATAACCCCCAAAGCGCCGCATTGACACCAGGCCCTCGGGCAAACGGCAGACATGAGACTGTATGGGCCGGCGGAATGAGCGAAGCGATTAATAAGAAGAGGCGCCATAAAATGTATTCCATCACCCCCCTCTTTTCCGCCCCCGAGTGTTTTTCCCCGCCCGACACACGGCGGGCTCCGGAAACCCTTGCCGAAAAAGCCCTTGCCACCTCTCGGGCAGGAGAGCCCGGAATCGCATCGACGAGTCGGATCGGCAATCGAAAGGCATCGGGTCGGAGGACATCGGCGGCCGAGGCGGGGAGAAGCCGAGTCGGCGGACATCGGCAGGCTGGTACGCCTCCACTCAGGAATCGGAGCCCCCAATCGGAATCCCAAGTCGAACCGAATCGACATCGGAAGCCCGCGAGGTCGAATCGAATCGGATCGGAGGAGTCGAAACGAGTCCCGCGTGGGGGGCCGGTTCCCACTTCCGCCAGCTCCCGCCAGCCTTCCGCCGGCGCAGCCCATCCTCGTGTCGCACCCGCCGCCCGGCGGCCGAGGACGAGGCGGCAGCTCCCTCGACCATCGAAGGCGAGGCCGTCTCTGGAGCGCCCCCCCGTCTTGCCTGCATGCATCCGCCCTGGACACTCGCGAACGAGCGAAGCGTCGAGGCGGCGGGGAGACTCCGCCGCCGCCCCCGGCGGCCACTGCTGCCACGCCCACTGCGGCAGCTGGTCGTCACGCTGCGGGTTTCTCTGGAGGCCTCCCTGATGGGGTCGGAGGATGGCGCCGCATCGGCGATGCATCGGCGATGCATCGCCGATGCAGTGGCGATGCACCAGCGACTTCGGCGAGGCATCCGCGCCGTCGGCGTGGAGAAATTCGGGCTCCGCATCGAGCCGCACCGCCGATGCATCGACGATGCGGCGCGATCCTCCGACCCCATCTGCTCCGACCCCATCTTCGGCGGCGAGCGAGGAGGGAAAGTGAGAAGGAGAAAGCCTCCTCAGAAGGCGGCGGGACTTCCCAGCAGCCCCAACGCCTTCTGAGAGGCTTCCCGTGTCTTCGCGGAAGGCCCAGGAAACTTCTCGGAAGGCCGGGGGACTTCCGAGCCTTCTGTTAACGGGCGAAGAACGGTATAAAACAAACTTTTTCGCCGTCGGGGACACCTGCCCCAGGGCGGCTGGAAAGTTTATACCCCTACGGTGCCACCGTAGGGGTATAAACTTTCCAGCCGCCCAGGGACAGGCGCCCCCGACGGCGAAAAAGCTTATGCTATACCGTTCTTCGCTCGCTGATTTTCGCTTCCTCCCCTCGCTCGCCGCCGACATCAGGGAGGCGGCGGCGGCGACGACGACCCCCGCCGCCGGCCGCCTCCGCGCCGGCGAGGGCGGCGGCGCCGCGGCTCCAGAGCGAGGAGGCGCTCGCCGCCGGCCGCGGCGAGCGCGGCGGCGAGGCGGGAGCGGCGCCGGGCGACGGGAGGACGCCAGCTGCACGAGAACACAGGGGCCCCAGAGCACACAAATAAATACACACAGATAAAAGGATGCCCCCTACTTTCCCCCTATTTTTGGGGGAATTGCTGTCTTCCCCCCCACTCCCCATAGTTTCCCACATTTTCCCGGGAGTGGGCGATATTCATTGTGTCTGTGTGTGCTGTTTCCCCTCCGGAGAGGACCTCCTGCTGCAGCCTCGGGGGGCCCTGTCTGTCCCGACGTGGCCCTGGCCGCGTCGCATCCGTGGCACATCCCCAGAGATCCGACGTCGTGATTTTTTCAATGCGGGGCCCCCGGAGGTCTCGACCCGTTCCCCGGGACCAGTTCTTCATCCTGAGTCGTTTTTTGACGGTCCCGGGGCCCGGCGAGGGCCCCATGAGGCCGAAAATTGTGAAAAACCTCCGTCTTGATTTTTTCAAAACGTTGGATCTCTGGGTCCGTGCATGCCTCCTCGGGCCCGTGTCGGGTCCGTGCCGAAGCCGCGTCGGCTCCACGCCCAATTCCGCGTCGAGCCCGCCTCGAGCCCGCGCGAGGGCACGAGAGAAGACACCAATATGCTGGGGGCAGGCGAGGCCCCCTCCGAAGGTGCAGCGTACGAGGCGCAGCAGGCAGGAGGCCACGAGCTGCGACCCCCCTCGCCCGCATCCGCGCCTTCGCGGCCTGGCTGCCGGGGCGCGGCCCCGCGGGCCCGCGGCTCAGGAACCCCGAGGATGCCGCTGCACCGACGCTCCCAGAGATCCGACGTCGCGATTTTTTTCATACGGGGCCCCCGGAGGTCTCGACCCGTTCCCCGGGGCCAGTTCTTCATCCCGAGTCGTTTTTGGACGGTCCCGGGGCCCGGCGAGGGCCCCATGAGGCCGAAAACTGTGAAAAACCTCCGTCTTGATTTTTTCAAAACGTTGGATCTCTGGGTTGATAAACCCCATTCGCGCACTCGTGACCGTGGATTTGCCGCTCCGCGCGGTTTCAGATGCACGCTGTTCCTCTGCAGGTCGAGCGCAGCTGCAGAGAGGCGCCCAGTCTCGGCGGGGCGGCCCAGGGCTCTGGCCCGCGGGGCCGCGGGTTACGGATATGGCTTTCGCCCACGGAGGAGGGCCACGGGTCCCGGAGGAGAGGGGGGGCCTGGAAGCTGAGGTTCGCTGTCTCTGGCCCCGCGGGGCCCTCCACCGGCCCCTGGACTGGCAGCAGGGCGGCTCGGCACCAGTTTCGCCGGCCCAAGAAAGGGGTCCAGCCGCCAGGGGGCGGTGCAGCAGATTGGGGGCAGCTGTGTTGCAAATGTACTGCGCCCGAGGCCTGTGTTGCATTGTATTGCAGTTGATGCGTTGCACGCGAAAAGCCAGCAGTGCGCTTGCGCCCCGGAATGTACAGGCACGCCCCGGATCTATTACAGCCACCCCCTTGTAGCTGGACCCCCGTTGTAGCTGGACCTCCATGTGGGTCGACCAGAAGGAAGAGCCGGTCCTGGAGAAACCGCTGGGGTCTAGGCCCGAGCCGGTCCTGGGGAAACCGCTGGGGTCCAGGATCCAGGACCCGTTTCCCTCAGGACCCCTCTCCTCGATGGGGCCGTGTGCCTCCTCCCTCACTCCTCCTCCTCCTCCCTCCTCCTCTCTCCTCCTCCTCCTCCTCCTCCTCCTCCTCCTCCTCCCTCCTCCCACCCACCCTCACTCTTCCTCCCTCCCTCATGCGTCCTTCCTCCAAACTCTTTCCCACTTCCTCCTCCCTCCTCCTCCTCCTCCTCCTCCTCCTCCTCCTCATCCGTTCCTCCTCCTCATAGATAACTTTTCCCTGTCGCACCCCGAGGCCAGTTTTTAGGGCGGGCTGGGCGTTTCGCCCGAGACTTCCTCACCACGTCTGACTCTGAAGCTTAAAAAGAGAAAGCAATGTCACATATGGAGGGCGGGTCGTTTTCAAAATGTGGCTCTCGCCTTAGCCCGCGCAAATCCATTCTAAACATGTGCAAGAGTTCCATGGACCGAGGGCGGGTGGTTTTCAACATGTGGCTCTCGTATTAGCGCCGCGCACATTCATTTTAAACATTTGCAAGAGTTTCACGGATGGAGGTCGGGTCGTTTTCAACATGTGGTTCTCGCCTTAGCGCCGCGCACCTTCGTTTGCACCTTCGTTTTCACAAGTTGCAAGAGCTTCACGGAATGAGGGCGGGTCGTTTTCAAAATGTTGCTCTCGCCTTAGCGCCGCGCACACTCGTTAAAAAATGCAACAGCTCCACGGAATGATGGTGGTTCCTTTTCAAAATGCGGCGCTTGTCTCAGCACCGCAGACACTCGTGTTTAAAACATGCAAGAGTTTCACATTATCCCATGATCAACGTACCAGAAATTGTGTTTTAGCAGCAGGATTCATGATTATGCGGGTGCAGCAGATATGTTGATTCGCGGCGCTGAAGTCCCAAACATGGCGCTCTGGCACGATTCTAGATCGTCCAGACGCAGCATTCAAGTTGATACGCAGCGTTGAAAAGCCGATAACATGTTTTCGGCATGCTTCAGGATCTGCAAACGGTTGTCTTCCAACGAGGCAGTCCCCTCATGGAAATGAACCGTTGTATGGGGCCTATGAAGAGAGAGCTTGGAGGGAGGGTTAATTCCAAACTCGTTGATGACTCTTGGGTTTACACTGGTCCTCCTTCTCCTCCTCCTCCTCCTCCTCCTCCTCCTCCTCCTCCTCCTCCTCCTCCTCCCCTCCTCCTCCTCCTCCTCCCTCTTCCTCCTCCTCCCCTCCTCCTCCACCCCTCCTCCTCCTCCTCCTCCTTCCTCCTCCTCCTCCTTTCCCTCCTCCTCCTCCTCCTCCTCCTCCTCCTCGTTCCTCCTCGCTCCTCCTCGCTCCTCCTCCTCCTCCTCCTCCTCCTTTTCCTCCTCCTCCTCCTCCTCCTCCTCCTCCTCCTCCTCCTCCTCCTCCTCCTCCTCCTCCACATGCTCTTCCTCTTCCAAAGACCTTGATCCTCGAACCTCGATATCCTTCCTACGCGCCCTCTCGGGGGGGCCCAGGAGGAGGGGGACGCCCGTGCAGCTGGCGTCCCCCGAGGGAGCGGCCAGCGCGGCAACCGCGGCGCCGAAGCCGCCCAAGCGCCTCCAGGCGGAGCTTCCACCGTGGTCGCCGCAGTCGTCGCCGTCTTCGGAGACGACGACGACGCCGACGACGCCAAAGCCGATGCCAACGCCGACGGCGCCGACGGCGCCGACGCCGACGCTGACGCTGACGGCGACGACGACGACGACGACGACGACGACGACGACGACGACGACGCTAACGACGACGCTAACGACGACGACGACGACGCTAACCACGACGACGACGACGACGACGACGACGACGCTAACGACGCTAACCACGACGACGACGACGACGACGACGACGACGACGACGACGACGACGCTAACGACGACGACGACGACGACGACGACGACGACGACGAAGACGACCTCCGACGGAGGGCGCTCCGAAGGCCGGCGGAGGGCGTGCCGACGGCCGGGCGGGCGGCGGCCGCGAGAAGCCGACGGCGGCCCGTCGGTGTGTCGGGCTCGGCGGAGAGCCGGGGGGGGGAGCATTACAGGATTACAGTCATAGCGACGCCAGCTAGTTTCCCGCCAGCGCCCTGCACGCCAGGGCCCACGGTCTGGCCACTGAGGCCAGCCTCCCAGGACCCGAAACTAAAAGGGCACCTTCGAGACCGGATGTTTTCCCTCCAGGATGAGATCTATGGCAGCCCTGGCACCTCTGGCCATCTTCACAGGCTGCCTGCAGACTCCCTTCAACAGGGGACCAATCCGTTGGCTCGAGTAGGACCCGCAATTCTAACAAAACAAAAATGGTTCATTCGTTTGCATCCGATGCCCCAGGGCCGTGAAACTGGCAAACGGATCGTCCACCCTGGCCCCTGAGGCGGCTCCTCCATCCGACGGCTCCCCAGGGCCCGCAGGCGGCCCCGAACCAGCACACACAGCATCGGCCGCCGCAAGCGCCACACGGACCGCCTCGGGGGGACCCATCGGGGACGCTTCGGCAAACCTACCCCCAGGAGAGAAGGCGAGGCGCGCCAAGGCCTTCTGCGCCTCGGATGGCTCGCACCTCCTTCTGCTGCCCTGGGTATACAACTTGACAGACGCCTGGGTCCTAGCTTGGATTCCACACTTCCTGCGCACACGAGTGCTAGGACCCAGGGACCAAAATTCATGCTCCAAAAAACTCAACAGCTTCGCATTGTTTGGGGCAGCCTGCCTCATGCCTTGATGCGCGGGCGCCCCACTCGACTGACTGTTCACCACCTCGCGGACGCTGGCGAGCTGGGCCGTCGCCCACGCGAAGAACTTACACTCCTCCTTCACTCGTTTCAGCTCCTGGGCGAAAGCTTCCACGTGCGTATCTGAAACAGCGTGAGACCGAGCCGCGACTTTAGCTGAGAAATCGGCCCACGAATTGCCAATCTGCCACTCCGGGGGCTTGTCGGAGTGCATCAAACAAAATTCTTCGAGATCGAGGCGAGCTGGGGCCCATTCAAAACTGGGGGGACCTCGAGACCCAGAGCTCGCGAAGATTTTCCTCCAGATCGACGCGTGGGCCCCTTGGGCCGTGGACAAACTGGGTGAACAGCTTTGGCCCTCCCTCACGGCTCCCAGCAAATCAGAAACTAAAACTCGCAGAAACGGAAAACGTCTAACTCTCTGCAACAGGGCCCAGCGCTCGGCAGCACCTACGGTCTGCATTCTGCCAGGCAATGGGCCATACACGGCCCTGATCGGACGCCCATCAACCCCCGCCTGGAACACCGCCCATCCGCACCTCCGAAATTCGGACCACGCGCGATGCAGCCCTGACCCGTCCGCGCAGGCCCAGCTGGTCCACGTCTGAAGGTCCGAGGCCCAATCGCCCCAGACAAAGACAGGCAGGCTTCCAGAAACAGGCGGCAGAGGCTTGGGCCTACGGGGCATCCCAGTGGAGAACTCCAGGAGGTCCCAACACTCATGTCCGAAACTATTCACCGCGCGCTCAGACAGCGCGTTCCTGGTCTCCTCAAACTCCTCATCGAACTCGGGAAGACCTGCTGCCGTCGGCTGCTCCAGCAAGTTCGGGCATGCGTAGAAGCCGTGTGCCACAGTTCCTGCCAGACCCAACTCCAAACATTGCGGGTGGGGCACATCGGAGACGCTGAGAGGCGCCTCTCGAACCTCTTGGATACCGACATGAATCCACCAGACCATAATAGTCGTAATGCGCCAGCCATCTGTGGCCGTCGCACAGCACTCTTGGAACCACCAACGATCAATGGTAGCGCGCGCATCCATACCTCTTCGCCTCCCTCCAAGTGCTCAGGAAGGTGCGAGAGGATCAGCCTGGATTGCCAACGAGAAACACCCTCACGTAGTAGTTCGCGAAACTCGGCGGGACACGTGTGCAACAATGAAATCACATTGCCTTCGTCACACACCACCGCCGTACTGCCCCTCATCTCCCATCCAATGCGCCGCAGAGATAGCCAGGTGGCCGCCAGCGGCCCTCTCACTCCCAGCCAGCTGCATGGTCCTGTGTCCCATTTGGCTTGCAAGGCCCTCCATGCCGACTCAAGCCGCCCAAGCCCGACACGCTGGTCCCACAGGAAGCTGATGTACATGTAGCAGATGGCCACCGTCGCTTCGTAGATCGGGTCGTAGAAGCGCACACCCTGGGTAGACAGGTACAGCGCGTGGCTGATGCCGCCAGGAGGGACCCCCGCCAGGATGGCCGCGGTCTGCCTCAACCTCTTCAGATCAGAGTCAGGCACGCCAGACACGGATGCACCGTGCGCTGACGCACTCAATAGACCAGACTTCCATAACTTGTGCACCTGCCCTCCAGCTTTCTTTAGCAGCATCACCCGTGGCATCCGAGAACTCAATTTTGCGATACGTGCCTTAGCCACGGGCCTATGAACACGACCACCATGCATGTCATGTCCAATATTCCTGATGCACTTCTTATGCTTGATCTTCAACACGCCAGCCCAACGCTCAAAGGTAATCCGACCCACCTTCGCGGTCGCCGTGAACGAAGACTTGGTTGGCTGGACAATCAACCCCAGCTCTCTAGCCTCCATCACGAATCGTCTGGTAGCAAGCGCCAACTCCCTAGAAGCACGAACCTCGTCCCCAAACCACTGCAACGTGGCATCATCAACCAGCGCACGCGGATGTATAGTAGGGTGCAACGTCTTAACTCTCTGCAGGGTCCCCACCATTAACACCGTCAAAAGCGAAGTGGCGTGAGTGCATCCTGGTAGAATACCCTGTCCCACCACGATCATGTCGCTCTGGCTGCCGCACGCGTTCACCGCGCGTGGCATCGCGTAATACGTGACCAACTGCCATAGCAACCTGAGCGGATAATTCACCGCCCTAGTCTCCGATATAACCCTGCCACCAGCACGGTGTCGAAACACTTCCACATGTCTATCATCACAGTCACAGAATGCTCATTCAGCAGAGTTGCCACCTCTGCGGTGATATTGTGAGAGAAAGCCGAAGCTGACGACGAATATCTTGGCCTATTCCCCCAGATCAGCTCAGAGGGGTTCATCTCCAACCAAGTCCTCGACGCGGGCCGCCTCACTCGTGCCCACGCCCTGATGATGGCATGAATCAGCGCCACCAATCGAGACCCACCACCTTCCTTCGGAATCTTCACCATCCCGGCGTGGATGCGATTCGCTGGCCACACTAGCAGGGCCTCACATCGCATGAAGAAGCTTGCCATCGCCGCGAGGCCCTGGTCCGATAGGAACCACAAGGCCCTGGGCTGCAACCGACTAGGTCCTGCTGCCGCCCCCCAAGCGAAACTGAGGATCGTCGCCCGCATCATGTCCACCGTGATGCACGGTAGGAAGCCACAGCCCCCGGCATCATCTGGCAATTTCAGCTCCGTCACTTGGTGGACACGCCAAACTTTAGCCCACAAGGCGAGCTCCCTGCCAGCAAGCTGATGCGGCGAAAGCTCATTGCCCGAGTCAACGATCTCCTGAGCGGCCTGGGCCCTTGAGAACCTATGTGCGCCAGAGCAACCTTCCAGAAATCCTTTCTTTACAAATCCTCTCCACCGTGCGCGCTCAGCCTTATCATGCTCCTTCTGCAAATCCAGATACTCATCGCACACCTGATGGCACTTACTGTCCAGCTCCACATCGCCCAACCGCTCAAACAAGGAAACACATTTGCCCTGGCCTCCGAGGAATTCCACCACCCAATCTGGAAGCCACGCATGCACCGTATCACAGCTACCAATCTTTGCATACCACAATACAGCTTCACCCAGAAAACGCGCCAAGGGTACAAGGTCGGCCTGGGAGCTGACCACTCGCGCCGTCTTCCCAAATCAAGACCTTGTCAACTGTCTTGGAAATGAACTTCTTCGTGCAACGAAAGTGCTGCGACCATCGGTTCGCCACCATGTAGGCTCTCAACTTGTCCCCAATGCTGCAACCTACATCGAGGAGGGGCCCACTTGGAGCAAACGAGCCTGGCCGCCGCTGGCCCCGCACGCCCAGATGTGGCCACTGCCTCGGGTCCCATCGCACAAGTCATATACACCGTGCAGCTCTAACTCGATATTGGTCATCATGATATCCCAAGCTGCACTGATGTCTGCCTCATTCTCAGCAAAATAGATAGCCCTCTCCACAGCGTCCCAGTCCAAGGGAAAACGTGGGCAGCCGATCGGCGGGGCCTTGGGAAATGGGACTGGCTCGCAAAAGACCTTGCACCAGCGATCCATACCCTTGGCCAACACCTGAAAGCTCACAGGCTTGTGAACCTTGACCGTTGGGGACTCCACCACCTTGGGCTTCCTCAATCTCGTGGATAAGTTGACGCATGCAAGACCGAAATCAATAATCGACCCAGGAAGCTCTGTCACACAGGTTGGTGAATCGGGAGCAAGCGCGTACCCACCAACTCCATCACGAATAGGTATGCTGATCTGGTCGGGCGTCAGGTTCCAGTCCCCCAAAGCCACCCAATCTCTACCGATGCCATTCAACTGCGCGCAATAGTTCGCGATCTTCAACAACATCGCTTCATTCTCGGGAGACAATCCCACGCCCGAAACCAGGTATACTGCAATCACAATCAGGATTCGTGGAACTCCCCAGGCGACATCAGCGGCGACGAGCCTCCCAGCCTCGAGTACAGGGCATGGAAGCAAGGGAGGCGCCTTCACGACAATGTGGCTCTGCGTCAGGATCGCCACACCTCCTGACTTACCATCTAAGCCCGTCTTGTTGGCACCCTCGTAGATACCATGATATCCCAAGTCCTGCAGGTGACCCTGTAGGGATGGTAGGTCCTCCTTCATAGTCTTGTGCTCCTGCACACTCAAGATCTGCGCAGCGCGATCCTCTAAGAACAATTTGAGCGGAGCGGCTCCGCCAGCATTCACCGATAACATATCACCCTTTGTGCTCGTCGTCGTTGCTTCTAACTTGTAATTACCCATTTGCCAAGCATGACATGCGAGCTCACAACTCATCCTCTTCTGCCACCTTCCCCTTCTTGGCCGCGGGTGGAAGGAAGTGCAGCGACAACTCTGCAACCCGCTTGGCAGCGTCACGCAGCCCAGGCAGGTCAGCAGGACAAGCGTCACCCAGAAGAGGCCCCAGGTGCTCCCGCAGCTGCTCCTCGGATGCCTTGGCGCTGCCCTCGTCGAACTGCTGCTGCGTCTGCGGCACGGGGGTGCCAGGCACTGAGATCGGGGTGTCGGACACGGCCTCCTCCACGCCATCGCCTGCACCCTGGCCAGGCTGCCGCATGGCCTGCGGAATGGCCGACGCCAGCGCTCCAGCCAGCTGCGAGCACTGCTCTGATCCTGGGCCACCCCATGTTGCGAGAGCAGCCTGCCCAGCGCTTCGACATCGATCGACATGCCAGGCACCTTCTCGCCGAGCTCCGCCTTCTGCAGAGCGCCCCCGCACTTGGCCGACAACTCCTGCATCTGCAAGCCCAACGCCGCGACCTCGCCCTCCTGGGTCTGCATCTCCGCCTCTGCCACCAGCAGCTGCTCCTCCAGCTTCTTCCGCTGGTCGTGCAGCGCGGCGATGCCATCGCGCATCTTGTCCAGCTTCTGCTGACCAGACTTGAGCCGCACCGACAAGGTCTGCAGCTGCGCGTACATGGGCCTGGATGCCTGTAGCTTCTGGTGTATGATCTCCTTCTCAGCGCGTAGCCCCTGCAAGTAGGCCCCGCACTTCCCGTCACTGGCGAACTTGCCAAGCACCGCCAGCTGCTTATCAAACGACTTGAGTCTGTGCCGCAGCTCGGTGGTCTCCGCCTCACTGAGGCTCTCGCCCAACGCCTCGGCTCCAAAACCCTGCGAGTCCACGGACATGGCGGCCGCATCCGACGGAGGGGCCGCCGCAACCCCTTGCGTCTTGAGCCGTTTGACCTCTGACTCGAGCTCCTTGATCTTTGTAATCGCATCCTTGTAGTCCTTACCCTTCTGCCACGGCGGATCCCCCCCTTTCCGAAAGGAGGGAGTGGGTGGCTCCACGTGGCATTTGAAGCAGGACGATTTCCACATAGAACATAATGCACACTTCTTGGCGTCGGGGTGATTCCACCATGCGTTTCCCGTGCGGTCATTGATGCAAGACTTACACTCCCAGCGCCGCGCGTGCTGCTGCCCCCGCGCCGCCATGAGAAACTGCTGGGAGCTGAATCCGCCCCTGCGCTGGCAGAGACGGCGAGCGGGCCTCCCGACACGGTCAAGAGACAAGGTGTGGGGGCCCAACTCCCACAGTGAAGGCACGAGAAAACGACAGCTGGCCGCGGACTAGCGGTATCCGTTCGGTCCCCTGGGGAACAAAGCATCTTGAGCCAAAATGGCTACGGACCGGGGGGGGGAGTGGGAAGGAGAAGAGGAGGGGGAGGAGGAGGAGGAGGAGGAGGAGGAGGAGGAGGAGGAGGAGAGGAGGAGGAGGATAGGGGAGGAGGAGCAGGAGGAGGAGGAGGAGGGGAGGAGGGGGAGATGACGAGGACGAGGACGAGGAGGAGGAGGAGAAGAGGAGGAGGAGGAGGAGGAGCCGGAGCCTTCGAGCGTGTGTCGGGCTCGGCGGAGAGCCCGAGGGGGGAAGTGGGAAGGAGAAGGCCTTCGAGCGTGTGTCGGGTTCGGAGGAGAGCCCGGGGGGGGGAAGTGGGAAGGCGAAGGCCTTGGAGCGTGTGTCGGGTTCGGAGGAGAGCCCGGGGTGGGTGGGAAGTGGGAAGGAGAAGGCCTTGGAGCGTGTCGGGTTCGGCGGAGAGCCCATGGGGGGGAAGTGGGAAGGAGAAGGCCTTGGAGCGTGTGTCGGGTTCGGCGGAGAGCCCGGGGGGGGAAGTGGGAAGGAGAAGGCCTTCGAGGGTTTTTTATTCGCGGTCCAACCGAGCGTCATTGGGGGCAGGAGGGGGGGGGAACGGGAAGGGGCACAACGTAGCGCCCCCTCCCCCCCACAAACTTGTGGTGCCGGAGGCACTGCGGCAGTGCCAGGGACGCACTGAGGGGGGAAGTGTCATTACGCTATTGGAGGGAGAGGGGGATGGAGGGGAAGGGGCATAACGCGATGCATCGGCCATGCACTAGCGACATCGACGATGCATCGGTGACGTCGGCGTGGAGAAAATTGGGCCCCACATCGAGCCGCATCGGCGATGCATCGGCGATGCATCCCCGATGCATCAGCGATGCGGCGCGAGCCTCCGAACCCATCTACTGGGACCCCGTCTAGGAGGCCTAGAACTCAGCCGTCTGGGGGCCCCGGTGTGGCCCCACCAAAAAGGTCGCTCCGGCGGAAGGTCACTGTTGAACCGAACTTGTCAGTGCGGGGTGCCCACAAGTCCCGACCCTCTCCCTGAGGGCGGGCTCTCCGGCCCGGGCTATCACTTCCCCGAGGTCCCAGGACCCGGCGAGGGCCCCCACCGAGAAGAGACAGCCGCACCGAGCTCCTCGACGCGCTGGAGGCCTGGCTCTCGGGCCACAGCTCCGGCCTCCAGCGGCCGGTCGGGACGACTCGGGCGCCCCGGGAAGGCCCTCGGCGAGGCGCAGCTGCCTGCTGGCAAGCACCCCGAGGCTGGAAAGCCTCCTCGAATCCACGACAACGCCCAGAGCCTCTGCCGCGGCCCGCGGCAGCCGCTAGCATAGGGGGGACACGGGTCCTCAGGGAAACGGGCTCTGGGCCCTGGGGCCTTCCCCAAAGGACGAGCTCTTCGCCCTGAGCCGAGTCGTTGCCGAACGGCCCCGGGGCCCGTGGAGAGCCCCGAGAGCCCAAAAATTAGCCTGGCGAAGGACCCAACCATATGCAGTTGTGGGTATCGCATTCGGGGAAGCCCCGTATGGGGCCACGAAACGCTGTACTGGGCGGGGGGTGGGGGGGGGGACGCATGCGAACTGCGCCACTGGGACCTTCGGTGGAGCTCTCTATGGGGCCACGAAGCGCTGTACTGGGTGTGGGGAGGACGCATGCGAACTGCGCCACTGGGACCTTCGGTGGAGCTCCCTATGGGGCCACGAAGCGCTGCCCTGGGTGGGGTGGGGGGACGCATACGAACTGCGCCACTGGGACCTTCGGGGGAGCTACCTATGGGGCCACGAAACGCTGCCCTGGGTGGGGGGGGCGCATGCGAACTGCGCCACTGGGACCTTCGGTGGAGCTCCCTATGGGGCCACGAAACGCTGCCCTGGGTGGGGGAACCGCATGCGGGCTGTG